GTTCACAATGGAAGCCGATTTTTGCCAGTATGCTAAAAAGTGCCACAAGTGCCAAATCTACGCCGATAATATCCACATTCCGCCCGCACCCCTCAGTACCCTGGCTACACCATGGCCATTTTCTATGTGGGGCATGGACGTCATCGGGACCATAGAACCCAAAGCATCTAATGGCCATCATTTTATCTTGGTGGCCATCGACTACTTTACCAAATGGGTTGAGGCAGCATCGTATGCACACGTGACTCGAAAAGTGGTGACCACCTTCATCAAGAAAAATATTATATGTCGGTACGACATTCCTCATAAGCTCATTACTGATAATGGGACCAATCTCAATAATAAAATGATGGAGGAACTGTGTCAAGATTTCAAAATTCAACACCACAATTCTTCTCCGTACCGACCAAAGATGAACGGTGCAGAAGAGGCAGCCAATAAGAATATTAAGAAAATCATCCAGAAGATGGTAGTAACCTACAAAGATTGGCACGAAATGCTGCCCTTCGCCCTACACGGCTACCGAACGTCGGTATGAACCTCCACAGGGGCCACTCCGTTTTCCCTTGTATATGGAATTGAGGCTGTATTACCAGTAGAAGTCGAAATACCCGCCCTGCGAGTGGTCATGGAAGCAAAGTTGACAGAAGCCGAATGGGTCCAAAGTCGATACAATCAGCTAAACCTAATCGAAGAAAAACGGCTGGACGCCATATGTCGGGGGCAAGCTTACCAAAAGAAGATCAAGAAAGCCTACGACAAGAAGGTCAATCCTTGCACCTTCCAAGAAGGGGATCTAGTAGTAAAGAAACTGCTCCCAACCCAGAAAGACAAAATTGGAAAATAGACAGCAAATTACTAAGGCCCCTTTGTGGTCAAGTGAGCCTTCTCGGGAGGAGCCCTCATCCTCACCAACATGGACGGAGAAGAGCTCCGACATCCTGTCAACTTAGACGCGGTAAAAAAGTACTACACCTGAAAACATTGCTCATGACCCGTTAGGATGAAAACTCGCAAAGAGCGTCCTGTGCAAAAGGTAGGGTCCGCATTCCTTGCTAGGATACGTCCTAGGCAAAAATTAGAGGTTCAAAAAAAAAAAAAAAAGAAGAGCAATGATTACCTTAGCCGAAAACCGCAAAGGCAACTAAGGTAACACCTTCACGGAAGCAAGCAGACTTCGCATAGTCTTCACTCCGAGTTCGAGCATCTCAATTGAAGTGACCAGGAAACACAGAGAAACAGAAATCACGGGCATGATTGATGTACCCTATACAGCTTAGCCAACCTTGGCCAGCCTTGCTTACAAATTCCCTTGTAAATCCTTCTGTAAAAATAAGATCATATCAATAAAAATTGTCTTTTCTTCTCTTTACCTACTTATGCGAATGTATCTATATTAACAAAACATGAGCATGCATAAAAAAAACAATACGAGAAAGCATAAGAAAAACAAGACAAACAGCGCCGACTAGGTCCATCCCAACCAAAAAATATAGGGTAGCCTGCTAGATCGAAAACCCGCAAAGGGCGGTCTAGGAAAAAGTTAAGGCCTTCGTAAAAAAAAAAAAAAGAAAAAAAATCCCTACCAAGCAAGAATTAAGCCCGCTAGATCGAAAACCCGCAAAGGGCGGTCTAGGCAAAAGATAGGGCTAAAACAAAAAGAATAGTCACGAGAAAACAAAAAAAAGTACCGGTCACTTTCTAGATGCCCTCAACTAAAACAAATTGCATCAAAAGCATCCACACACAAGTAGTTGCACGAAAAGGACTTTGTCAGAATCAAAACAGACAAATATACTTCAGATAAATAAAAGACCAAAAAGACATTCATATAAGAAGATTAGCTTCATGCTTGCATAGGGAGCACTCAGGGGTATCCCGGTAAGACCTTGTCAATTATGTACCCCCAGAAACAACGAACAAACTTCGACAACCAAGCAAGAGTCGAACAGAGACAAAACCCACCCGACCAACAAGCAAGAGTTGGGTGATCACCATCAAAAGATCAAAAACAAAGAATCCCCAGCAACCGATAAGGCTGGATGAACACCAACAAAATCCCCGGCACAGACCGGATGACCAAATCAAAAACAAAGAAAGCACATCTCAACATGGGCGCATGAGCTAGAGCAGTAAGCCGCCACCATAGCCAAAGGATCGGCTACCGCAAGAAGGAGCATCCAGAGGCATAACACCAGATGGGGGTGTATACTCATCAGGCCTTACAAAAGGGGGCTTACCGGACGGGGGTTCATACTCGTCGAACACCAGATGGGGGTGTATACTCATCAGGCCTTACAAAAGGGGGCTTACCAGACGGGGGTTCATACTTGTCAAACACCAGATGGGGGTGTATACTCATCAGGCCTTACAAAAGGGGGCTTATCGGATGAGGGTTCATACTCGTCAAACCAGATAGGGGTTCGTACTTATCAGCCGAAAGGATCAGCTACCGCCAGAAGAAGCATCCTGGAAGCACAAATTTTCCCCAGAAGATCAACCGCCGCAAGTCGGAACATCCGAAGGGTAACCGGGAAAGAGAGTCAACTCCTTTACTTTCCAGTCGATCTTCTTGGCACAACAGGGCAACGACCGACTGGTCAAGAAAAGGGGGGGCAGCTGTAGACCCCTAATCTTGCCCGACCTCATAATAAAGACCAGAAGACCTTCTATTCGAAGATGGATAAAGCCTAAGAAGCCACTAGGAGAGACTATTAGGCCCAATACTAGGATAGGAGGGATTTTTGGCTCAAAAATAAGGATTTTCGCCCTTTAAGGTCGAGACCACCGTCTCAGATTCGAGACCGCCGTCTCGCCTTGTGCAAATGGTGAGACGGCTGGCTCGAATGGCGAGACGGTCGTCTTGACCTTGTCAGACGAGACAGCTGTCTCGACCTGACAGGCGTGAATCCCTATAAATAGGCGTGCCATTCCCCTCATTTCATACAGTTCTTCCATTCTCTCTCTAGACATTTCTTCAAATTCTCTTTCTAGAAGCCCTCCGAAGCATTTCCGGAGTTTCTGAGAGCTTTCTAGAGTGTTTTATAGCATTTTTGAGAGATTCCGGCACTGTAAAAGAGTGAAGGGCTGCCAAAAAGCACCCTAATTCCAAAGAATTAATAGAAAGCTTGCCTCGGAGGTTTCTATACTCTCTCTCTACTTTACCGCTTTAAATTTAATTGTGCAATAGAAATTAGGGTCATGTAATCATAATGTTAAATTCCGCAAATAAAAGGGGTAAAAGCGTATTTTCACTGGTTTATTTATTTATTCAAAGTAGCTAGCCCATCATAGGGAACCCGAAAGGGGCGTCGTAAGGGAACTAACACTTCCCTTACACATAACTAACTCCCTTACCCAACTCTGGTTCTAATGACCAAAGTTGGTCTTTCGAAAACCAACGCCTTTTAACTCCTTTTCCGATGTTTCCGGTGAAAACGTCGGTGGCGACTCCAAGAGAACCCTTCAAAAACTAGTTCTTGGTTTAGCCCGGTTATCGGACAATCCAAGAACGCCCTTTCGAAAACCTCGCCCCTAGGTTCAGCCCGGTTATCGGACAAAGGCGTTGTAACCACACTAATAAAAACGTGAAAATTGGAAAGTCGGAACCATCGCGTCGCTACGACCGCCTCGTTTTGATGGCGGCGA